ACGTCACATTTATATTTATTTATGATATTTAATATATATAGTCTGAGCTCACCTCATGAGGAGAGACCAGCTGAAACGTCTCCTCTTGTTGTCTCTTTGATAAACTGGTAGCTCTCTAATTACCAGCAGTATTTCCTCCAGTATATTCTTATAACGAGCCCTGCTTCATTGCTCGTTATGTTGGTGCGAACATTTTTGGGTCTATCATCCAACTCAGTCCAGTGTGTTTTGTAATACTTTCGATCATTTAAAGCTGTTTTATCGGATTTGAAATTGAAGAATGTGTATGTGTTTATTATATTTTTCTTTTAGAAATGTGTGATTTTAACATTTGAGCTGGTTTATTAAAGGCTCTCTTTGGGGGGAGTTTTATGGCTTGTGCAGTTGCAGAGCCACAAGTGGGATGTTCGCCGTCTGCTTTGTACTTTCTGGTCCCAGATCCACTAAATGTGAGCAGAGATCCGGCACTTGTGCTTCGAATCACACGTGAAGCAGCCAATGCTTCCTGAAGCGGTCATGTGGTACGGCCGGTCCGCGAGGCCTCGAACGCCCCACATCACGCCTTGATACGCGCCCCACAAAAATCACCCTAAACGACTCGACACACGCTTCGAAGCCTCGACACGAAAGGACACGTAAGCCCTGGTATTTACTTTGAAGAGAGCTGCAGTTATTTGATCGATCCAGTGGGTTTGGTTTTCCTCTCAGTCTCTCTGGAAACACTGCCTGCAGTTCAACCTTGTTTTCAGTGAGTTTTTAAATGAGACGTGTACAGTTAAGCACTTTAGATGAACTCTTCTGACTTTAAGCTCAGATTTGTTCCGTTTCCTGATGGAGCTATGCGCCATCATGATGAGAGAGTTGAAAATTCAACCGTTTTTACACTTTCGGGAGGTTATTTTTTGGGAGAACTCGCCTTTTAAAACCCTCCGGCAGGTTTTCGGGGTTCAGAGAGTTCATCAATGCTCAGACTTTGAGCTGCTGACTTTAATTCAGCCTCACAGCAGGGTTCATTATCTGCCAGAAGGTGGCGCCGTTGAGCCACTAAACCATCTCAGACACTGACAGGAGACAAGATCACATGATTCACACTGGCTTCTGCTTCTGTTCGTCCATTTGGTCGAATAATTACAAAAAAAAAAACGATTTCTGATTCTAGAAAATCAAATATTAGCACCGAGAGTCCAAACAGCGGTAAAACTTGTCAGTGTCGCACTTAAAATGTCGTGTTTTAGATGAGAAACTAAAATAAAAGCCCAGGACAAAAGCCAGGAGCTCACATGGACGACAATATGTTCTTAAGAAACGAGTTTTGTGTGGACCTTGTTGGAACAAATCACATCTTGAGCCGGAAACCGTTCACCACTTGTAAGAAATCAGTTTTTCACAGCAGCATAAAATACGACGATATCAAGGAAATGTGGGTGAATTGGACTAAACCTCAGTTTAATTCTCTGAACACCACAAACTGAAGAACTTGTTCAGTGTCTGTTTCATCAGTTTGACTCAGAGCTGGAAGAAATTAACATCCATGTGACGATTGTAATTCTGTTTGTCGGCCAATAAAACACATCAAGAACAAAAAAAAAAAGAAAAATATTTATTTATTTATAATTTTTAACGCAACAACAATGTTAAAACTGGATAAATAGACATTTTTCTGACATGCAAACTCATCACGTAAAAAGAAACTGACATTGCTAAGGTGTGAAACTCGTGTTTGATCGAGGAAACAGAAGAACTGATGAAGATGTTCACCGATCAGCTGCTGAGGATGTGAAGGCTCCACGACTCATCACTCATCATGAAGGACAACTGAGTCTTTGTCCTTTATTCTCTGCTTTATCACAGCATTGGTCATCGTGTTCGATTCAAATGTCTTGTTGTTTATATATTGTGATGAGTTTTTATGTAGAAGTTCGTCTGGACTCCGAAACCTTCTTTCATCGGAGTTTTGTTTTCTAAATCATCTTGTTCAGCCTGGCGCTGCTGATTCATTGGTGACGGTGCAGACGTTGAAGAAGCAGCCTCACATAGAAGAACTCACAGGAAACCACATCAGATCACTTCAGTACTTTTATTGTCAATACATGTACACTTGTTTCATTTACTCTGCTCAGTCATTCACACACACACACATTAAAAAAAAAAATAAGGTAGAAAAATAAATATAGCTAAACATCATAATCAAGTGCTTGTGCAGTTATTGCATATGAGTCTGTGACAGCGAGTTCAGATGGTTGTCGTGGCGCTGCATCCACAACACCTTGTGCAACAAACACTGATTATTTGTTAATTTCTTAGGTTCCACTCACTTGGACACTTGGTTGTTCTGTTGTTGGCAGCAGAACAGACAACACTGTAACAACATCTCCTGAGAATGAAAAAAAAGGAAAAAGGGGGCCAAAGTGTTGCAGGTCTGGACTTGATGCAGGTTTAGAAAAACAAGCTGCTGGAACAGGACGAGCAGGAATGCAAGTGAACCAGCTCCTGGTAGTTTGTAGTGTTCAGAATGAAGAGCAACATGAACTCAAACCAGGCTGGACCTGCTGCTCCTTCTAGTCCACCAACCTCATCGTACTTCCATAAAGTCTCCGCTCCAACTGACGGACATGGTGTCGAGATTAAAGGTGAACTCGAGATTAAAGGTGAACTCGAGCTTCACATCTGCTCCACTGGACAGCAGTGATTCATCAGTCCTGAAGCCTCCATCTTTACCATCTTTGTCAAGATCAGAGTTCACACTCACTGTGTCCAACTGGTCCTGGAGGACTCGTTGGTTTGAATCCTGAAACGGAGCAGGAAGAATCCCATGTCAAGGTTCTGTTGGACAAAACCTCTAAACTGGACTACAGAGACAATTCAAAGATGATCAGCTCAGAGTTACACAGAAAGCAAGATGAAACTACAACAAAACATCTGATCATATGTACAACATCTGGCTTTTAGGAAAGACACGATTCTCTCTGAAACACTTACTTCTTGTTGTGGACACTTGTGTTTGAACAAGTGTTCCTCCTCCACCCAGGATCAGGAAGATGAAGAGAACCACAGCAGCGATCATTCCTCTTCTGTCTGACAACAACAATCCCACAGAGGAGACAGTTACTGCAACAAGATTCAGTGTCAAAGGTTTATAAAGCTCTTCTGGAAATA